GGCACACTGACTTCTGAGGGAATTTTAGATGCACTCATCCTCAGAAAGGTTGCTGACTCCTGCTCGAGGCTTTAACACTAACAGTGCTAACATGTCAGGCTTCAGCTTCCTTCTTTACCATGGCGTCAGAGCAGAAACACTCTCTGGGGAAAATATCAAACATACACGCGCCTCATGCACGCGCCGTTTGATGGCGTGCTTTCACATCTTCACATCTTTGCTAGCTAGCATGCTAACACTGGTATTAGCATGCAGCACACCATGTTCTGAGATCTTAAAATGTGATGTCAGAGGAATCAGTTTTACTTTGCTGCAAAGTATCAAATCCTGGTGTTTATTTCAGTATTTCGAGATGTGACGACTGGTTCCACGTCCCCTCCCAGTTCATACCTGGTCAGCGGATGCTGCCTGAGGCGGGCTGGAGATCAGAGGCTGCAGGAGGTCCTGGACATCGTAGGGTCTGAACCTGCTCACTGACTTCTGCTTTAAAAAGTCTTTCAAGATCTTTGTTGCCCTGCTGAGGGAGCTGACAGCCGAGTCTCTGAAAGACAGATGTTCGTCGTGACTCTTCGAGCTGCTCTAATAAAAAAAAATAACAGCTGATCAAACGTGTATGCAGCCTGCGACCTCGTTCACCTGCTGTCCTGCCAACAAATCTGAGAACACACTGAAAACCTAAGTCAGGTTTACTGTAAGCCTGAAATAACCACAGCCCGAGGATTTCAAGGCACAACAAGATGTGGGAATAAAAAATATCTGCATCTATTTTAGCTTCTCCTCTTTTTCCGAGGACGTTCAGAGGTTCTCTGCAGCAAATCGTCAGAAAGCAGACCTGATCTCTGAACTGATTTGGGCTTTAGACTGTGACACTTGGAGTTTAGACTGCAGTTTCAAACAGAGTCTGAGAATGTGATGATGAAATCTCCTGTAATTATGGAGAAAAAAATAACAGTGTGAAATGTTGACCCACTCGTGTGTATTCTGGCCCCACAGATGTGAAATCACTCAGAGTTAGGGCTGCCACAAACGATTATTTTGATAGTCGACTAGTCACCGTTTATTTTTGCGATTAGTCGACTAATCAGATCATCATCCATTGGACGTAAAACGTACAGCTTATTGCACCAGCAGCATCTGCTCTTATATAACTATCATTAGCTTACAGCTTTA